TGTTAAAGGTCGACATTAGAGGAAGATCTTCAATAAGTAAACTTGTATATATCAGTGCGTTACCTATATTTATATTACAGAAAAATTAACAAACCACCTACTTTCCGTACCCCTAATGTCCATTCTTCTATATAAATAAAAAATAATGGTTACTTACTCAAATTGTTATGAATTTACTACCCTGTTTCATGTATGCATTTTCAATCACGGTCAACTTTTCAAACTCCTTTTCTCCAACGTCAATCCTTTTTAAGGGAAAATTTCACTATTGGTCCTCAATCTATTGTCCAGTAACAAGTTAATCCCATTATTTTATCCTCGTTATCAGTCCTCAATTCTAGAACAGTCCAATCTTTGTAAATTTATTAGTCAAATTCCATTCTCGATAACTATGCTTTTACTCTATTTCATTCGAGTAATTGCAATTCTATTTTGTTTAGTTAGATAACTATATGTTAAGTTGATTTCAATTAGGCATTTCTATATAATTTCATCACATGAACGTATAAAAATTGATGTTATATTGGTCAATGAATGATGTTCACTATTTATTTCAATGAAGTTGTACTTATTTCAAGTCAACAACTAACCATTATCTGTAATTACCATCATTCTTTAGTTGTAACGTCATCGATTGTCGTCGGTGCAATTGCACAAAGTTACCTTATTTGAAATCTAATTAATGCATAATTTTAGATTGAAATCAAATCAAAATGTGACTACCCAATTGAAATAATAATAAAGTATAATCACACATTAAACAAATTGAAGTACAATTACCTGATTAAACTAAATTAAAAGTATAGTATCGTGAACAAAGTTTACTCTTAAATCATTACATACAAATCACTTTAAATTTCTAAGCGTGAATCCAAGCTAAAAAAAATCAAATATATCTTTATAAAATTAGACATATGAAGACCACATAAGATTTTAACGACAATTTGATATGTTTTCTTTAGTGAGAACTTATTATGTAACTCTAGTAAAAGGGTTGTAAACCTTGTTACTCATTTTCAAAGGTAGAGGCCAACTCGTTCTTTGAACAATAGATTAGTGACCATTAGTGCAATTTTCCCATCTTTTTAACCTGGAAAAGTTAAATGTGTTAGGCGGCTTGGCTTCAACTTTAAAACAAATGTATATATTAGTTGGCATTGATTTTGGCATTTTTTCTTTTTCCTTTTTTTTTTCTTTTTTTTTTCTTTTTTTTTTTTTTTTGGGTGCTGGAAAAAGTAAATCCTAACTTCATTATTGCTCCCTCTAATTGGTGTATTATCTTAATTAATACCCACTAAGTCCTCTAGTATTAATTAATTCCAAAAAGAGCCTAATTACAAGGTTCTATCTTCAACTTGGCCTCAAATATATCTGAAATTATAAAAAATAAAAAAAAACACAAATTAGTTGACAAGTTATCGGAGATGAGGCAATTAGAATAACGAGCGTGAAATGTGGAGCCTCGATCAAAAATCAACACAAATCAATGAATTGATAAAGTTTCGCTCTTTCTGTTAGAATAAACTTATAGTGGGCCTCAACATCTGAATTAAGTTTAAAATTCACCAATGAATTTCTATGACACATTACCAGAGCTTAACATATAATGAGCATGGATTAAAATGTATGTACAGAGGGGGGACTACCGAACCGTGTCCCCCCTCACATAACACGCGGGCCCCGCGTGTATTAAATAATGTCGAGTCGTAGCCCCCATCTTCTATTGTGAGTAGTAGATAAATGATTAGGTAAAATATTCGATACATGTAGCATTATCCAATGAGCATTGATGTTCTCGATTACAGAAATAGGTCTAACATACATATCACTAACCAGCATAGAAGATTCATTTTCATAAAAAATAAAAATAAAAAAGGAATTTGGCAACACATTTTTTAGTATCCCAAGAAAAATTGATTTGCTGGAAGCATAAATTGGGTAACGAATCTGTTGATCTAAAAAATGCGCTAACAAAATCTCGTTCACCCTCCCTCCACATATATTACCCACATACTGAAACACCCCGTTAAAATGCAAAGGCCACCGATCGAGAAAAAATTCTTCACAACTATTTGCACTTCGACAATCAAGTCAATGGATGGAAATGATTTAATATGAGCGCGACAGAGGCAGAGGGGTCTTTGGCTAGGGTTAAATTACTTACCTTGATTATGAAATGATATCGCATATATATAGATGGAAGAAAATGCGCCATGATGGGCCGTTAAAGCGGGCCATAGTATAAGTCCAATAAGAGATTGCACGATGTTACTTAATTTAATAGGCACAATCCAATAGAATAATCAATGTCGAATTAGCCAATGTGGAATCCACTCCATCACGTGCATGCCACGTAATTTATAAATATAACAAAATCCTTAAGCCACTTCATTAACTCTATCAGTTTTAGTAATAAAGACACGTATTGCATTGTCGAATTAAAATAAAAATATAAGGTTAATTATCAAATCAAAACATATTAAAGTTAGGTGACATCCCTCGAAGTTTCCTCACATGGGGTTGGTACTGTCCGCAGCAAAGTCACTGAAATAATATTTTAAGATAAGCTGAAGTGACTTTGTTTTTACTTAAAATGAGATTATTAATTAAAAACTTGTTAATTATAATTAATTAATTCTTGGACAGTCACTGCGCGTGCTGATACAGTCAGATTATTAATATCTCTTTTATATATATTGCAATTAAATATTTTAAGAATTATTTTAATTAATCTCATTAGGAGTAACATATGTGGAAGTTACCAACTCTCACCAGAAACTCTATTGAATGGTTAAAAGATTCATTTAAATGTAAAAATATTGACAGACAAATTTCTTTTCTTCTCATTTTGAAAGTGGCCGTCACATTAATAAATTCCATATTAGGTCAATTCGAACCTGATCTATGACTTAATTTCAACCTATTGTTTTTCTATTTAATTGAACTTCTCAAAAGCTATATTTGGTATAAAGATTTCATCATGCCCCCCTTAGGAGGAAAGAATGGTCTGGTCATCTTTCTTACGACTCATTACTACAGGTTCGAAAACCCCTTCGGCTTCTTCCATTAAAAAAAAGTAGTTTTTCCTACTCTTAATCGTTAATGTCGTCTTGAAGTGCATTCATTCAATGTTCATTTTGTATTTCATTAAAATTGAGGCTAATCCTAATATTAATGTTATTCTGTCCAATTTAATCCTTTAACGAGAAAAAGAATCGACTAGCCTATATTGAAGGTAGGGACACTAAGTTAGGCGAGCGAGCGAGCAACACGAAATAATAAGAAATTTAGAAACTCAAGTTATATGAATTAAGTATCAAAGAAGAAA